TGTCCCATCTCTTCATGTCCTGTCCCTTCATCTCCTGTCCCTCACACCCCATCCCTCATGTCCCATATCCTCGTGCCCTGTCCCGTGTCCCATCTCTCACACACCATCTCATGTCCCATGCCATCCTGTCCTGTCCCTCATGTCTCCTCCCTTCAGACCCTGTCCCTTCTCACCCCACAACCTCCTGCATGCAGGTTTTGAGCACAGAAACGCTGCTTTTAGTATAAATTCTGTCACCAATCTGTATCCTTGGCAGCTCCAGGGTTGGCTGTGGCCAGTGCAGGGGCCAGATGGGACCTCAGGGAATGGTGCCAAACCAGAAGTAACCAGTGCCCCTGGGAATGACTTATTCTCCCTCCTTCTACCCATCCCTTCTGGCAAGTTCCAGATTCCTGCCCCAGGAGCTCCAGGTCATCATGCACTTTGACCACAGGAACATGAACCACCTGCATGAGATGATGGAAGCTGCAGAGGGAAGATTTGCCTCACAGTGGACCTGGCAGAGGATGGGGACACCTTTGACTACAGTGTGTGCCCTGTCCCTGTGCCAGAGGGCTCTTCTACCAGCTCATAACCAATCACATCATGATGTCAGGGTGGCCCACAAGGATGTCAAGCATGAGAACTCTCTGCTGCAGGGCCACACCCTGGAGCTGATGGACTTTGGCTTCATCCAGCTGCTCCCCAGGGATGGCATGGAGCTGAGCTGGACCTGCTGCAGCTGCAAGAGCGATGTCTGGAGTGTGGGCATCATCCCCCATGTCCTGCTCTGTACCCACCTGTCCTTCAATGACACCACAGATGCTGCATGAGCTGCAGAAAGGTGTCTCCAACCCCAAGCACCTGGGGACCTCCAGGTCCTGGAGTGCCAGAACCTCCTGAAAATGTTCCTGGAACAAGACATAACTGTGAGACTCTCCCTGGAGGGGGTCAGGAGGTGGCTGACTCACCCCTGAGGAGGACTCGCTCTGCTCTCCACCCATGGAACTGATGTTTCTCAAACAATGACAAATCCAGAGGTCGGTGTTTCTGCTCTCTTCAGCCTCGCAGGTGGCAGTGCCAGGTCTCTGCCAGGCAGGGACAAGGTCTGGTTCCGACTGGGGCATTTTTATCAGCCCCCTCAAAGCCATCAGCAGTGGGAAATGAAGGAGACAAGAGCTCAGAGCTGCCCCACGGACCCTCCTGAGGCAGCTGACAAAGGAAGTGAGAACAGCCCACAGAGACTCGGGAGAAATCCTTTAATGGCCGTTAACTGCAAGTCTGCAAAAGGTTTGGAGAAAGTCATCGTTACAAAACTACCAGCTGTTAGAATTGTTCCTGGTTTTCACCCCAGCTCGAAAAGGCTCAGGGAGATGCAGAATAGTTCAGAACAAAGAATATTGCACAGACAACCCAACGGTTAATTTGACTAAAGAAGAGAAGAGTGACACAGAGGAGAGCGATGCAGCCTCGGGTCTGCAGCAGGCCCAGGGATCCAGCCACGACCCCCACCACCAAATCCCACAGGAATGCAGCCTCGACACTCCCACTGCTGTCACCTCCCACAACTGGTTTTCCTGCCACAGCCAAACTGGAGGCCAAGACGGGGTGAAGCTGCAGCACACAGGGAGGCTACGCCAAGGGGGAGGAGAGTTGCCCCCAGCCCTTGTGTTCTGCACAACACCCTTCAACTAAGTGCCCAAAGCTGCTGCTGCCACCAACCCACCTTTATAGGCAGCTGCATCCGAATATCTCCCCAAAGGAAGGGGAAAAAAATCCAAACATCCAACTTTTCTAAGTGTTCCCAGGTTCATGCTGCCCAAAGCCAGAAGGAAACCCACAGCTCCAAGGAGCAGAAGGACAAAGGCAGCACATCCAAAGCCACCACCCTCTGTCACTGCATATCAGCAATGTCTGAGAAGCATCTCGTGAGATTAGAAGGAAACTGCCCCAAGAAGAGAGGCTGTGGATGTGAAGGAAGCCTTGCAAAGAGGTTAAGCCAAGGAACCCAAGTGAGTACAGCAAAGCTCGTGACACTGGTGGCCGTGGGACCTGGCATGGGTGGGACAGGAGGTGCAGGATGAGGGGACAGGCACAGCACCTCCCCTGTGCTGGGAGAGGGAAGGGAAGAGCTGAGCCCCAGCTCCCAGACAGAGTTTAAACTGGTCAGTGGGCCAGACTGGGGCTCTGCGAGAGCTAAACTGGGCACCGCAACAGAGGGGTGCTGCTCCCAGGGTGACCCAACTCGCTGCCGGCGCCGGAGGGCTCAACTAAGAGCAAGCCACGAGTACTTTGCCCGGAGACTCTCACTCGAAGTTCAGGAAGCCGGCAGGAGGTGGCGGTGCGGCTGCGGGGGCGGGAGCAGCCGC